GGATTTACAGTGACATTACTTATGATGAAATGTTTGGCGTGAATGAACTAGGTACTTAATGATGAGATAAGATGTTTAAATGTTTAACGCATGCATACTTCACGTTTTAGCTTCACTTCAACGAAATTGAGCACGTAATTAAAATGTCAATTTCAATTAGGTATAATTGATTTTACGGTTATTAATCTTATAGCTTGATGAGACCTTATCTCTAAAAACAAGTGAAAGAAAATGAAAATACTATCAGTTCAACTGTTATCAGGTCACATTACGTATTAGGGGAGATCTTTCCGAAAGACCAAAGCTTTATTCTGGCCGTTTAGTCAGAGAATTTTAGTGGAAAGCCTCCTGCATTACGTAATGATTATTATTTTTCGATAGCGCCCTGAAAATAATTCTGGCATATGGTTAAAGCCATTAAGCGCAAAGATCACGAAGAGAATCACCGAGGATGACAACCATTGCTAACCTATCAATAATAAATGAGGGACGTTATAGGGGAGGAGAGGTCAGACCGTCCCTGTCATCCGTTTTCCGGTCGCTGCTAAAATCCGGCCGGATCTACCGGATTCACGTATACGTACCGTTGCCGTCGCGTCGCCGACACATTGCAACCCCATTCCCGTTTTTAAATGTATTCATACTGGTAACAAGTGGACGAAGCGGATAATTTTATGCATAACTGCCCGTGTTTTTCTGCCAACACCACGGGGCGAACGTATAAACGAGACTACCTACAATAAGACGATATTTTCTTGATTTCGATAAATTATGTAAATCAAAGCTGCACCTTGCTCTTGATTATTGTATTGGGTTACAGGACAAGAGAAGACACGATCGACATAAATATCGTTGAGTGCTGCGGCAGCCATTTGTGATATATACGTGTCCCTATAAGTCAATTTAAAGCTCTAATTTCTCGACTTATTCACCTTGTTGCCCTTGGTCTCATAGCAGAACCTTCCTCTTAATTATTACATTGGGTTTTAAGACAAGAGAAGATCGATAAAAATATTGTTGCGTGCTGCGGCAGCCATATGTAATGTATACGTGTCCCTATAAGTCAGCTGAAATCTCTAATTTTTCGACTTATTCACCTTAGTGTTGTTGATCTCATACAACAGCATCTTTTTCTTGACATTGTTTTGGTTTTCAAGACAAGAGAAGACAATATCGACATATTGTGGAGTGTTGCGGCAGCCACAGGTTAAATATGCGTCCTTAAATTAGTTGAATGTCTTTCAAATACTCTGGTAAAAATTTGGCTAAATCACGAAAAGATCAAGAGGAAACCATGAACTCGGAAAAAAATTGAATCAGTTAGAACAATAAATGTAGTTCATGCAGGTCTAGCTTAATGCATTGTTACGATCTTCTGCCATCTAATGACTATGAAATCACATGAAAATATAATAAAAATATTTGAACTAACTATCCAACTTTAACTAACTGTGGTTTCTTAAAACTGGGAGAGGATATCTAGCCTCTTGAAGATGCTGACTTGAATTTGAATAATTAGGAAACCTATAAACAAACGACTTAATTTGACAAAATCCATAACAGAAGCCGAAACGTCGGTTTGATTTCATACTGAACAAAGAATTTACAACCCGTATATTGGTTTGCCTTATTATATTCAAGATAGGTACAACATACTTACTACATTATGTTTTATGCAGCTGAAGTATATTCATTAGAATAACGAGCGATTAGGTATAAAAAATTACACGTGCAATATAATTTATCTTCGTATCTATTATATTATCTCAATTTAGCGATATAAGTTTTATTAATTTGTTATATGCACACGCGCTTGTCATTCGTTCTGAATTGATATGCTCACTCCTTGATAACTGTATATTTTCTAGGAAGTTAGAAATCCTTCATTTCTTAAATATTTCTTTATTCTAAATGTTATGTAAATTTTTACTCCATTAATGTACCTTGTGTTTAATATGTAAGTATGATGAATTAAGCCATCCGTATTATCATATCTGTTGCAGTTTATTATTTTTGCTGGAAGAGTTGATGAGATTAGAGAAACTGCAAGTGTAGAGGACAGACATATCCCATGAATAAATAAGTATTTCTTCATTGTTGATTTCTTAATAACTAACCACATATTTAATAGTAAAATCATAATCTTAAAGTTCTGCATCTAATACCATATCATGGATTCGTTGTCAATTTGTGTAGGCTGCTCAAAAAGTATTAACAACAGTGAGTCTGGGAAGAAATGGGTAGTTCGTCAAGGCTATTTATTGTAGTTTGATGGTATAGCAAACAATGAAATAAATCGAATCATAATCTCAGTTAAACTTAGAATGTGTCACTACGGTCGGACACTAAAACAACGTTGTTCTTAATGGGAAAGGTCTCTACCGTCACATTTGAAAAAAGTACCAGTAAGGTTACCATGATAATCTTCTTCGATTGCAAGGGTTTCCTGTACCAGCGCGTTGTCTTTTTTAGCCACAGGGTGTCAACAAACTGTTATAAGTCAGGTTTTATTTTACTGAATTTCTTGAACCTTCGTGGCATCGTAAATTTACCACACCTACCATACAGCCCAGATTTAGCCGCTTGAAGCAACCGGGTGTATCCCTAAGTCAAGTTTTGACTGAGGAGTTGGATCGAAATTCAACACCAGTTGATTGCGCGCAGCAAAGAGTTCGACAACGATGACCTAACATGTAGATTTCGAAGACTGAATAAATATTTTTGACTGCAGAGTGTCTACGTCGCTGCGCAATATCAATTTTTGAATGTTTGTTATCTGTAAACGTATTATCACTCACATGGTCTCAATGCACATATAGACAAAAAAACATAAATATCACAACCTTGCCGCTAAGGCTGAAACGTGATGATTACTGTCCAAAAGTTGCTATTGATGGAAATTAAAATGACTTGCTTTCACTTTTTAACATTTGCATTGTTCCTAAAAGTAATCAGTGCTGACCTTAATGATGATATAAACTGCTTCAAAGAATTTATAAGCAAAAATATAGAAGATGTAAACGCGTATGAAGCGTCCACTTTTCATAGTGACTTCCAAATGAAAATAATACAGAACCAATTGGTAAGCAGTCCTTTTTTATGTTATGTTTCTCGTTTATGTCGAATATGTCGATGGTATTCGTCTAGGTACACATTTAGACATACAATTGCTATTAGTAAAAAGTAAAAGTTAGACAATAAGTAAATCGAAAAATCAATGGAAAGAACTGTAACAGTTTCAATAGTTACACTTGCAGTAGAGGTCGTACAGTGATTGATGCACCTATTTTTCAGAATATGGACTGTACGGCTTCATAATAATTGAAGCAAGTGTATCAGGCAGTTTACTGGCGAATAGACTTTCAGAAATAAATTTCTGGAACATTCTTGTAATTGAGGCGAGTCTATATGAAAATGATTTAACAGATATACCCTCTATCAATAACTACGTGTTTAATTCAAAATACAATTAGACATGTACGGATTACGTTGACTCCGCTTGACTGTACATGAACAGTGTGATCAACAATTATAGGTCGCAGTTTACATCGTGTCATACCGATGACGTAGACGCAATATCTCAATAACTTTACTGTATGTACAAAAACCAACTTCAAATGAGACTTCTGCTGTGATCAATTTCAGGGGTGTCTAATTCAGTATTGGGACCACGAGTCAAAGCGGTTGGGGGAAGTACAGTCATCAACGGTAATGTGTTTTCCAAATTCAACGTTTAAATATGTCCTTCCATATTTCAAAAGATTCGCTTTGAAAGGGATCGATAGGTAATATCACAGATTCGAGAGGCTAGTGGTTTTAGAATTGTCTGAAGTCTTTGTCGGATCTTTAAATTCAGTTTACAGTTAGATATGAAAAGTACACAAAATGGCAGACGATTTAATGGTAGGAAACATTTTTCTGCGTCCGATCGAAAACAAGACTAACATAAAAATGTAGATTACCTAATTATTCAGTTACCAAAATTCTGATTCATAAAAATAATAAAATAGTCCACTGGCACTTAACAATCTCCACAAAATTGGAATCGGTCCGTCGAGTGGACATTCCAAATATAATATATCTGTTCTGTTCGACCTCTCAGTAGGGTTAAATCTCCAGGATCAGTATTCGACGTCTCTTTAAGCAACAACCAATGTCAAAAGCCCATTGACAGTCACAACTTCCACTGCTTAATATTTAAAATCACCTGGTACTTTGACAACGTCTACAGGAGTGCAATTAGTATCATTTTGCCATACAAGTCGTGATCCAGTAAAATTTATTATTACAGTTACCAACAGGATTTCAGCAGTAAATGGATCCTGATCCAGCTCCAGTTTCTTGAGAGTCAATACCATTCTGCTCAATCCAAAATCTGTTGGTACAATCCAGTTAGCTTCTTCTGATCAATTTCTTTTAATTAATCCAAAGTTTCTCACTGGCCAAGAGGGGGTGAATGGTCAATTTTCATATATATTATCATCCCCCCCCCCGAAAATTGACCAGCATGTTCAAAATTAATTTATTTACGTTAAACGTCCATATTTAGGTCACAGAAATTCATACGTACACTAAATTTCAAATTAATCGGTCCAGTGGATTCGGAGCACATTAACTATGACAGACGGGCAGACAGACACACGTGTGATCCTATACGGGTTTCGTTTTTCATTAATTAAACGCAATAATCTTGACAACAAAGAACAATACCAAGAAGCTTTTCGAACGATCAGACAAAAACACAAAACAATTACCCTCATATCTGTTATATTATGTCAATTTATAGATTATATTATGTATAGGTAATAGACATGCGAATACCTTTTTTTCAATAAGGAAAAGTACAAAATAAAAAAATGAATTTATCTTCATTTTTCTATCTGATTGTATCTAAATTTTAATTAAACATCAGCATTGCTTTATCAATAAGAAAAAATTTATTTACTTAATTGCCATGGCTCCTGCCTTTATTAAGGTTTCGATATAAATAGCGAAAATTGAACACAATATTCAGTAAGCCAAGATGTTTTACATACATTTCTTAACTGTTACATTACTCTTAACAACAACCAGTGTCGTCGTCGGAGATGATTTGGACTACTACGAACAACTTATAAGGGATAATTTAGTAGAGGAAACTGCCTATGTGGCTCCAACGTCTTATAGAGAATTCCAGTTGAGCGACGAAAACGCTGAACCAATTGGTATGTAAAGTACCCCTACAGTACCTGCTATCAAGCTTACTTGATCATATTTTTGTATTCAAAATTCTAACATTTTATTGTGTTTCAAACTTTTACCGAAAAATCGTTGTTCATATATACATATGTACAACGCACGTGTATGATCTGGAATACAAAATCAATATATAGGGTTGTTCGGAAAGTCATTTCGTTTTTTTTTGTGGAAATGAAAGACAGTTTTCGTATAATAAACAAATACGTTATCAAATTATATATTTACCGTTCTGGTCCAATGCCTTTTGCCATCTTTCTGGTAGTAGCACAATTCCACGCTCATAAAATTGTTGATCTTTGCTGGCAAAAAACTGATCGAGGAGGTTTTTGACCTCCTCATTTGAGGTGAAGGTTTTACCGTCTAAAAGATTTTGGAGTGACCGGAACAAATAATAATCCGATGGTGCCAGGTCTGGAGAATATGGTGGGTGTAGCATTGTATCCCATATTCAAGCTGTAAAAGCTTTTTTGGCGAGTGACCAAACTTGTGTGAGGTCTCGCGTTGTCTTGGTGAAACACTACACCTTTCCTGTTGATTAGTTTTGATCTTTTCTGTTGAAGTGCATCATTCAGTTTGTCCAGCTGATGACAGTAGACTTCCGAATTAATCGTTGTGTTATCCGGTAAAAGCTCAAAAAAAACACGATTCCTTTAAAATCCCACCAAACAGACAGCATCAACTTTTTTTTGTGAATATCGGCTTTGGAAATGGTTTGAGCCGGTTCATCTTTTTTGCTCCATGACCTCTTGCGTTTGACGTTGTTGTATACATCCCATTTTTCGTCCCCAGTGATGATGCGCTTCAAAAACGGATCATTTTCGTGACGTTTGGGAAGCGAATCGCAGACGTCAATGCGGCGACACAGATTTCTCTCTGTGAGAACATGGGGAACCCATACATCGAGCTTCGAGGATAATCCCAGGCCTTTCAAGTGGTCATAAACTGTTGAATTTGATAAATTTAACCTCAATCCGATCTCACGTGTTGTTATTCGCCGGTTCACATCAACTAATGCCTTTATCGCGTCTTTATCAGCTTCAACCGGCCTTCCCGAACGTGGTGAATCTTCGACATCAAAATTGCCGGATCGAAATTTAGCGAACCAGTTCTGGCACTGGCGTACTGTCAACACACCTTCTCCATACACATCAGTCAATTTCTTTCCGGCTTGAACAGCATTTTTACCCTTTCTGTAGTAAAACAGTAAGATATGTCGAAAATGCTGCTTATCGCTCTCCATATTTAAAAGAGCACCAACCAAAAACTACTCCGTAGAATTAATTGGAATTTTTCACACACAAGCCTTGCTATATGAGCTCTCACAGCATATAAAAATTATACGGCGTAAATGTGAAGTTGGGTGCAAAAGAATACAATTAAATCCTCTGTCGGGAAAAAACGAAATGACTTTCCGAACAACCCTATATATAACACAATGGTCAACAATACCTGTATTTTCAGAATTTGGGGAGTATGACTTTATAATAGCTGGGGGAGGTACCGCGGGGAGTTTATTAGCAAGAAGATTATCGGAAGTTGAGTCGTGGAGCGTCTTGGTAATTGAAGCGGGTGGACGCGGGAATAATTTCACTGATATCCCTGGCATGAATATTCATTCGTGGTCCACAGACTACAATTGGGCATTCAATACCACTCCACAACGTACGCAGTGTCCAGGTAACTGTAGATTATTTATTTATCCTTTTACTACAATAAAATACGCAATAAAAACATTACTTACCGTCTGGTACGTGTAGGTACTCCTGTACGACAAATGCCGCTGCCACGAGGAAAGGCTCTAGGTGGAAGCACTGTCATAAACGGTAATTTATATTCACGTGGATCTGAATCAGACTACAATAGGTGGGCAGCCGCAGGCCTACCCAGCTGGTCGTTTGAAAATGTCCTACCGTATTTTAAAAAGTTCGAAAATGCATCCGCGCTGAAAGGAATAGATCGTGACTTACACGGATTCGATGGACCACTGGTTGTCGAAAACTATCAAAACACTAGCCAGATATCTGAGACTTTCATTAGCTCCATTAATTCATTGGGATATAACCTTGTTGATTATAATTCAAGAGATGTCATTGGTGTAGGATACGTACAAGCAAGTACCCGAAATGGAAGGCGAAACAGTGGAGACAATGCCTTCTTACGTCCAGTCGATAGGAGATCTAACCTGAAATTACAAATCAATAGTCTCGCGACAAAAGTGTTGCTTGACGGCAACTGTTCGACTGGAGTTGAATTTATTAGCGGAAATAAAAAGTATGTGGCGCGAGCTAGATCCGAAGTGATTCTGTCAGCTGGCGCTTATCAGTCAGCACAAATCCTGATGCTTTCTGGAATTGGTCCGCCGAGCGAACTATCTAGACACAATATATCAGTTAAGCTAGACCTTCCGGTGGGCCGTAATTATATGGATCAATATTCATATTTTATCTCTTGTACGACCAACATCACATCCAATTTGACAGTGAGAGAGTCGATAGCACAATATTTACGAACAGTTGGCCCTTTGACCACATCCGACGGAACTGAACTGGTAGCATTTTGCAATACAAGCTATACTCCAATTGAATACGTATCCCAAGTGACTAGCAGTATTTCGTTAGTTAACGGTTCTCTTACATTCGATGCTCAAAGGGCAATTGCCTTCAACACTTACATAATGTTGCTGCATCCAAAATCTGTCGGGAACATTCAACTGGCATCTCCTGATCCTATACAGTATCCCCGATTAAACCCAAATTTTCTCCAACATGACGACGATCTTGCAACCCTTGTGGAAGCCGCCCAACTTTTAGTCAGAATATTACAAAACGATCAATTTCAAAAGTTTAACCTTACCATTTTAAGGGAAAGTTCCTGTAGTAATTTTGATTTCAATAGTAACGAATATTGGAGATGCGTCGCTCGTTGTATTGGATTTCCGGGAAATCATCCCAGTGGGACTTGCAGAATGGGTCTAAGTCCTGAAGATTCGGTTGTTAACGAAAGACTTGTGGTTCATGGAATGAGAAATCTTAGAGTAGCCGATGCCGGTATTGTTCCTCTTACTTTGACAGGTCATATGTTCGCCACAGCGTACATGATAGGAGAGAAAGCAGCAGATTTTATCAAACAAGACCATGGAATTTTGTAGATTACTTAACAGTGAAACGGTGCAATAAAACTATAATACAAATTTTCTGTAGATCAGTTATTGTAAAAAGAAGTATGACATAGAGTGCATTTAAAAAAATTGTTGTAGGTCTTTCAAGCTCAAAATTGTAATTTTACTTCTAACTAGTGTAAGCCTAAAATATTGACCAAATGTCAAGTACTCTGGGAAACCCACCACTCCAACTTTACTTGGTACGCAGGTGACTACAGCTTTTGCTGCCTCCTTTGAATCGTGTTCATCTCGGTGGTTATGTGACGCTTGCATTGAAAAACAGGAACTGTTACTGGTACCAACAACCCGATAGGTTTACCTTGCTTTCTGTTTTAAAAGGGGATGGGACCTGGTATCTGCACCCAAGACCCTTCCGATTTTGAAACCTTGTCAACGATAAGGTTGAAATTCCAAGTACATACTTTCTTTAAACGTTAATTAAAATATAAGATTAAAAACAGATGGAATGCCAGACAAATTCAAAAACAATTTTTATTAAACAATAAGCATATATGTAGAAGACCAACACAAAGCCGATGTTATTATTTATTTTTTCGCATTGTATTTATTAATAAAGTTGTCACATAAATGGAAGTAAATTCTCTGCTTTTTTATATCGAAGAGGGAGTAAGGGGGTTCAGCTTCCTCTCCCGCTGGACCAGTGATGTTAAACGTAAAAATCTTCCAGTCTCATGGTATTTAAGCCAGTTTTTAATTATAGTACAATATACTAAAATTTTTATTCTGATAAAAATCTGTGACAAGCAACTGCCTCGTTTTTAACTGTAAAACTTTATGACTTTATGATAGGGACAAGTTAAATGTTCCGTGTATAATTTTGGTTTTTCAAAAAGAGGCAAACTCAAAAATGTTCACTGCATCTGGTTAAGTGTATTCGATACTATAATTAATGCATATTTATTCTATCTGATGGTGCTACTGATGAGGTGATCCCACTAGAACGCAAAACAATACAGCAACTTTTTAGTAAAGTCTACAAAAAAATTCGCGTGCAGCATTATCTACCTCTGCACATTCTCCACTACCTATATCAATTTAAAGATATGAATTGTAGTATTATCACTAACGTTCAATTAAAACTTTACCTCATTAATATTACTGTATCAGTCACAAAAAATAGCGCAAATTGAGAATAACATTCAATATGTCATGATGCCCTACAAACATCATTTAATAGTTACGTTATTCTTAATACTGACAAGTTCTGACATTGAAGAAGTGCTAAACTACTGCGAAGAGAATGTGAAGAAATTGTGTGCGAGGACAAGACAAGAAGCAGCCAGATCTTTGTTTAAAACTTAACGGATTTGGATTTCAGCTTATTGGTTAACAATTCTTCTCACATAAATTCCCGTTTATCCAAGTCTGTTTACCTCATAACTGTGTATCAAAAATACTGTTGATATACCTATAGAAAGACACCAATGATTTTTTTATCATAACTCAAACCCTTTGGTGTGTTTTAATGCTGACAAAATTTACAGTTTCAGCTGTATGTATCAACATTCCTTCCGAACCTAAATTGATTTCTAGAAATAATATGTTTGTTCAAAAATGAATTTAGTTTATCATGAATCATGGCTTCATGCAAGGGAGTTATGCCTGTAGTTATGAGAATCACTCTTGTTTAGTTTTTTATAACATTCTGACCATCTGGTGTATATCTTATCTATAAAGAATTAAATCATGAGTACTATCGTCTATGTAAAAATATTTTTTTTCTGCTACATCAGCGGATAAGATTAAGTATCCGATTAGAACGTAACAACATAGAAAAGGATTTAATAATTATTTATTATAAAAGCCGCGCGTGTGATATTATCTTTCTGTCTACTACATTATCTCAATTAATAGATACAGATTGTACTACGAATGAGTAATAGACACGCGCATGCATTTGTTTTCAATAAACCAAGATTATCTCTAAGGTGATGCAGAACATGGAATCAGTGTTGAAGTGGTCCAATTCTTAATGAAGATTTTAAAAAACGAAAAATTTCAAAAGTTTAACCTTACGATGGCTTGGAACCCTAATTGTAGAAAATTCACTTTCAATAGTAAATATCATTTATTTGTTTTATTTATTCCTTCCCTCTGCCTTCTCGTCGAGGGCACTTCTTCCTTGTTATGTTTATTTATAAGTTATAAGAAAAAGAGCCATTTCAACAATTTCTGTGGTAATATAATACCTTAAAATAATTCGAAGTGGTCTGTATTTTGTCGAAACTGCCAGACGCGGATCGCGATTTCGATCTTTTTGGATCTCATCAGCGCGTCGCAGGCAGCTCCCACAGAACACAGACCAACTTTTACCTGCTGTC